ACGGCTATCACGTGACACTGTCTCACACCATTCGTGCGTGCAAGTTCGGACTGATACAGAGTATATAAGAATGCAGGGCATGTGATGAAGGTCCAAAGACACAATAGAACACCTCTAGTGTCACCCTCCAGTTTTCGAAAGATTGCGACGATGCTACCTTGGCTCTGATTCCTTCATACTAAAGGACAAAATAACAGTATCTAGCCTACCCTAAAATATATTGATCCCTAACCGCCTAACAGATGTAGGTGAAATTTTTCTCAAAACTTTCTTTTTGATGCAGAAATGTTCCTATAGTATTTATGTAGATGGAAAATGTCGCTTATGTACGTTTTTTGGCGGTTACGGTTCGATATGTACATACGATCCAAAAGGAGTCAGGAAATTCAACTTTTTAGAATTACCTTGCCGCCACCTCCCAGAATTATAGAAAATGGGAAATAAGCCGCCGGGGCTTTGAAGTTTTTCATATATTTTTTATGGGGAAAAAAAGTTTTTTCGTAGAATTACTATAAAATCTTTAAAAATATATACATACATACTTGTTGCTCGATATTTTCCTCCGAAAATGTTCCAAAGATAGAATTATGATTCAAATTTAACAAAAAAAAAAAATGGTAATTACTTTTGGCGTTTACACTTTTGCTTAGTATTTGGCCGAGCTTCTCCCCCCAATTTGTGGTGTGTGTCTTGGTGCTATTACACAAATGGGGGCACCTACAGTTTTACTACGCCTCCGAACGGCAAATGGCTTTTATGAGAAGCTTTTTAATGGCAGAAATGCATTCGGAGGTTTGCCATTTCCTGCGGCGCCCGCAGTTGAAAAAAAAAACCTTTTGGAGTGGTAGTACGCACCTCTAACCGCTCAGCCAAAGCGGCCTCATCATAATTTTATTGTTTGAAGATTTCTTAATGGAAACATTTTTATACGACCAAAAAATATTTATTTTTAACTACAAATTTAATAATTCTACGAAAAACTTTGTGCCCTAAAGAACACATGGAAAACTTCAACTTTTTAAAAGTTTTGTAGGGTATGTTAAGAGCCACTAATATATTGCCTATCAAATAATTTAAAAACATTTTGGCGAAGTTACAAATTATAGGGCGGCTTGATTAAAACGTTTTGTGAATCTCCTAATAGTCGGCATACACGGTGCGTCTGACTCGTGAGTCATTTGTGTACTTGTTGACACGCCTTTCGACTACACACAGTTGAGTCATTCAGAGTCATGTCGGTGTAACTAACACATCCAAACCGACTCGCGAGTCAGACGCACCGTGTATGCTGCCTATAACTTCTGTAGACGTAGCTATATCTTATACATAACTAAATGTATTTTTAAAACTCAATACCTACCCATTTACTTCTGCACTAGGTTTTAAATTCACCATAGCAACATGAGCCAAGTATTCTGCATTGTTCGCCATCAGGTCTTGAACGTTTCCCCATTGGACGTCATAGCTTAATTCCAGCGTTATATTTTGTCCGGGCTGTAGTCCACAGGACAAAGACAAATCATTCAAAGCACATAACATTTTCACATTCGATTCTTCGGTCGATTGGCAACTGAGGAGTATCGTGCGATTTTCGTTCAAGTGATTTGTATTCAAAATATCGGTGGAATTCAATGTTGGCGGAAATAGAGGCGGAGATTTTTCAAATACTAATGGAGGATTTACAAAATTCTTTATACGCAATTGGGCTGAGATGTTGCTGACAAAAAAGTGATCAACGCCTCTATCGTCAATATGATCCGATGGGAAATTCGGTGATTAAATGGAAAAGATTTAACGGACTTGGACCGTTATTTTGTATCTGTAATGCAACTCGAAATAAAAGTATTAGAAATATCAAAAGCAAAGAATTTTGAGCAATAATAAGCTGTTAACACACCTCAAAAATCGTCGAAATGGAAATATTTTGCTCCTCATTCGCAATGGCTACGATATCATTGCTTGAAGTCCTTAAATGGAGAAGGGGGACAAAATTAACAAAATATGAAAAATTATAAATTTATCTTGCTTGCAACGCCTTCAAAGACTTACTCGACTATCCAAATATCGGTCGTCGTTATCAGTTTTACTGCATTCGATAAATGATTATTTTCAGGTGTTATCTCTTCGCCAGTGCTGGACACGAATGCGGTTATATCCATTTCAGTGACACTCACAACATTACTCAAATCAAAACTCAGTTCTACTTCCGCGCTGCCGATAAATGCTCGTCGCTTAGCTATGCTGCACACAACTCTCCATTCTATATCAAATTCTCCAACACATTCAGGTGGTAATTTGGCAAATGGCACATTTATGGACGATTTAACAGTCAGTAGTGTATTGTAGGCTTCCTGTCCCACATTGGTAATAACATATTTGATGGGTAGAATTTGTGTTGCACCCAGTATAACTTTAGAACTTGAAAAAGAAACGTAAAAATTGTTGAATTTTATGTTGTTCATTTGTTTAATAGAAGTTTGCAAACGTGCTGAAGTTAAGAGTATCTAGTCGTAGGAAGTTAAATTTTCTACATAATGCCGAATTTCCACTAGGCATTAAAATGACAAAAAATGTATGCCATATGGAAGCAGACTATTTTTGTTAACGTAATGGCATGAGTTTTTTTAATGCCCAACATTGACATTAAAAAGTTTGTCATTTAATGCCTAGTAGAAATTCAGCATAATAGGGATATATTATTTGTTTAATAGAAGTAAGCAGACTTGCTGAAATTAAGCTTATCTAGTCGTAGGAAGCTAATTTTTTTTAAATAAGAAAGAGAAAAAATAAACGAAAATATGGATTACCATCGGTTTATCTTCCGTTTTCCGTCGGAAATTGTAAGCGTGGTTTTTAGGGATTAGGCTTGGCTACCCATGTTGGACAATTAGGTAAAGTTGCCGTTAAGCGCTAAATGAAAACATCAAAGCCGATATTTAATGCCGACGTAGTATAAGTGTCCCGATCTTTCATATTTGCAGCGATTAAGTCCCGATTTTCAGAGTTTTCTTTGTTAATTATGTAAATAAGAGTTTCCCTGTACTCTGGCGCAAAAAAAAAAATCGTACAAACGAGGCAGCACAAAGGACATAAAATATACGGGAGCCATAAACATAGCCACCATCCTTATTTTCTACTGTCTTTGGTTATGTTTTATTCTGTCAAACTGGTACTCTCGCTATATTGCAGCCTATCATTCTTCTCTAACTTTTTTAGTTTTTTAACCGACTTCAAAAAAGAAGGTTATCAATTCATCGGAATATATTTTTTTATGTATGTTACTGCATAATTTTGGACCACGTTAACCGATTTCTATAAGGAAAGGTAGTACCACAGAGGTGGTCCCACACTGATTTGGTTTAGGTCCGATCATTAGATCATTAAGAAATGAACGGAACTCTTAAATTTGTATATGAGAATTGAAGTCGGTTTTGTTTTTTGCTTAAAAATAACTTCTATATGGAGTACACACCTTTTACTACAATTTTGAATCGCTATATCTCAGAAACCGTAATTCTCAGGAAGAAAAATGTTATACCAGTTTGCAAATTTATGTGACCTTTGACCTTGAATAATTTTTAACACATAATTTATAATGGTGTTCGCAACATTCGTACCAATTTTCAGCTTTATGGAAATTATTGTAAGCTTGAATGTTGGTTAGGGCCTTTTTGAATTAAGGCAACGATATACATTCAATGATCAGTACAAATTTGCGTATTACTTACGGTACGTTCACGCTTCCAAGCTGCAAATCGACAGAATTATGCAAATATTGAATACTTGCTTCAGTCGAACTTGGCCAAAGAGGATCAGTTATAGCGCATTTCTTACAAAATTCTGTTAATTGAAGAAAACAAATTTTTGCATTATATTAAAAACGCAATACTTCGCGTAAATGCATATCTAAATTTTACACCTACCTGCACCACTCCACGCCTTCGCATCATACTTTAATCGATATGAAAGTTTCAAAACTATCGGCACAAATTCATAGCGAAAATCGAATTTGAGGGAATCATTGTATGTCGTACATTTTGGCAATCGGCTCACTGTAAAGGTTTCATTATTTTTAAAACTCAAAATCTTTACCCGCTTCTCTTTCGCATCGATAGTCAAGTCTAATAAAATTTCTAGCTTCTGATCTTTGGTGGAATTTGTTAAAATACTATAGCAAATTTCATATTGAAGATTAGTTGCAGTTGTGGGAATTAGGTGGTGCAAAGGTCGTATGGTTGCAATAACTTTCACCACTGGATAGGCGCGGTAAATAAAGACGGTATCTGCATTTGGCGCACCAACAGCCAGATCATTGAAGCCATTCGCATCTATGTCAACACCTTTGGAGAGACCATGTCCAAACATACCATCGGCGAATTGGTCGCTTACATTCAAAATCTGTCTTGGCTGCTCAGCTAGTCCGGTTGAACTGCCAAAATAAATAGCGACAGCACCACCATCGTCGGCAAACGGCGCACCAATGGCTATGTCTAATAATTGATTTTTGTTTTTGTAATTGCGTACATATGTGTATGATTGTACCCAGCAAAAAACACGATTACCACAGAAGCGAAAGTGGAAACGAG